AAAAATAAATAATAAATAATTAAAAAAAAATAAAAACTGTTAAAAAAAAAAAAAAAGAATTCAGTTTCTCTTTCTTCCATAGGAAAGAAAGACTATATCTAGAGGCTTCTTGCTTCCTGGAAAGGGCTCTGTCCAGGCCCTTCTGCTGCTGAGGAGGCTGTCAGGGTTGCAGTCTGTGAGCTCAGAGCTGAACCCTTGGCTCCTGTGTTTACATCCCCAGGCCCTTTCATTTGCAGATACAGTCCTGCTAAATTGTCCAGTCTGCTCTTGAACTTTCAATCCTTCTGCCTCAGCCTCCCAGAGTGCCACATTTACAGGTGGGCACCACCACAATTGGATTTTTTTCCTAGTGAAGCTCTGTAGGCACCCTACACAAGCTGAGGAGTTGTACCTCAATTTATTCCTGGAGCCAGGCAAGTGGAAACCCATGGCATGGGTTACTATGAGGTTGGGGAATTGGGCCTGAGTCCAAAATCTGATTTGGGGGCCAGGCTTCTTGGCACAGGAGGGTGAAGCAGGAGGATTGCCAGGAGTTTCAGGCCAGCCTGAGCTACACAGTGGGTTTAAGGCTAGCCTGCACTTCATGGCAAGACCCTGCCTCAAAAAATAAAACAAAACTCTGATTTGGACAGAGGAAGTGAGATCTTGAGCAACTCAAACTCTCTGGATGTCTGTTTCTTCTTCCTCCCCTAAAACCAAAGGGAAAATGTGCAGGTTTGTTAGGCTACTTAATGAAAAAACACTGCTACTTTTGAGGCAGTGAAGTGTGACACATGGCACCTGGGATCTCAAGCTCAGTACCTGGAAGCCCTTGCTCCAACAGCACCAGGAAGGAGTGAGGCTTCATAGGCAGTGTGGGGGCAGTCATCCTGCCTCAGCCTGCAGGAAGAGAATTAGGGCACTAAGGAATCACCTTCTTGAACTTGACCAAGAAGGATCATACTGCCTCTAGAAATACTTCTACCCTCTAACTCAGTGCTATGTTTATTTTTAAGCTAGAAAAGAAAGTGAAAATGCACTCACCATTTGTATTAGTTATTCCAACATGAAGATTGGACCTTCCATTATACTCCCTGAAAGAAATAGGTATTACTTTTTCTTATATGAAATGGAGTCTCTCTGTTGCCAGGGCTAGTCTCAAAGCCTTGGGCTCCAGTCCTGTCTCAGGGCTTCTGCCTCAAATTCTCCTACATCAGGCTCCTTAACAGCTGGGACAATAGGCACGTACCACTACACTACCGTATTATTTGTCTGATGGACATATGCTTGGTATGAAGCCTTTATATTTAAAATAAGGGAGCAGTGCAGGGCCAGCCCCTGCCATCATCCAGCTAAGTAGAAGCTGGTTTGAGAGCTAAGTAATAGTGTATCTGATGTAGCAAATGCCCCCATGGTGTCTCCCCAAATCTGCATTCAAAGGCCAGCTCTCCTGGAATATAAATTCAACATCCCCCTGGCTTTCACAGGCCTGCCTGGAAGTTGGTAAGAACTGATTTTTTTTTTTTTTTCAGTACTAGGGATTCAACTCAAGCCGTGCTGGACAGCCCTTTCTAAATTTCATTTTGAGACCTGGGTTTGATCCCTGGTACCATATGCTGCACCAGCCCCTGCACTCAGGCAAGCTGAGCTAGCCACCAGGTGTGGGCATGATGGCGTATGCCTGTAATCCCAGCACTGGGGAGGCTGAAAACAGGAGAATCAATACAAGTCCAAGCTGAATAGTGACACCCAGTACCAAATACATTAAAAATAAAATAAAAATAAATAAATAAATCTTGAGACAAAGAAATTCTTGCTAAATTCCCTGCCTTGAACTTGGGATCTTCTGCTTCAGCCTTCTGAGAAGCTTGGAATGAACTGTGCAGCACTGCACCAGCTAAAGGAGCACCTAATTCTTGTTTCTTTCTGTGTGGACCTGCCTCACCTCCACAAGTGCCTGTGTTGCTGTACAGCTGTGGCTGCTCCTTCTCCTCCTTCATTTCCTCATGTTCCTCATTGTTGCTGGGAGTTTTGTGGATCTGGGGTTGGAACACAGAGCCTCGTGCATGCCAAATATGTGCTCACCCGAGCCACAAGAGCCCCTTGGTGTTCTCCCTTACACAGTCCACACACTGACCAACTTAACTCCCTATGACATCATCATCAGAGCACTCCCAGGCTGTCACTTACTAGTGCAGGGTCACTGAGCATGTCCTTTTCTGTACCCTGTGTCTGTATCTGTGAAATGGGCACATCCTAAGCCTCTCAGCAAACAGAGAGGAAGATCAGAGGGTGTGTGTGTGTGTGTGTGTGTGTGTGTGTGTGTGTGTGTCTATATGTATGCCTGTATGTAGTACTGGGGATGGATCCCAGGGCCTTTGCATGGAGCTGCATCCTTAACCCTTTTTTTTTTTTAATTTTGACACGAAACTTTTATTTTATTTTTATTTTTTGGACACAGGGTCTCATAAGTGACTAGGTTGCTCAGGCTAGGCTTGAAATTGTGATCCTCTGCCTCAGCCTCCCAGAGTGCTGGGATCATAGAGGTGGCCACCAGGCCCAGAGAGGTAAGTTTTAAAATGGTAATGCTTAAGAGCTTGGTAGTTGCTATGGTATGTATCTAGGCATCTCCCAAGAGCCTCATGTATGCAGCGGCAGGCTTGTGCAAAATGATGGATTTAGGAACTTAGAGCTGACTTGCTGTGGAAAGGCAGAAGGGCCAACACTGGCACTCAGCCTGGGAAGGGTAGCTCTACCTCTTCAGCTCCTCCCTTTTCACTCTGCTGCCTGTCTGCCAGACCCTGAGCTCTTTCTCCTCTATAATGCCCCTCTGCCATAGTGTCCTGCTTAAAGTCAGCTGATCATGGATCAAAACCTCTACATAGTGTCAACCAAAGCTAGCTCCTCCTCCAAGCTATGGGTGTCAGGTATTGTTTCTCAGGAGAAGAAAGGGACTAAGACAGTGGTGTACACCTATAACTCCAGCTATGTAAGAGGCTGAGGCAGGAGAATTGTGAGTTTTAGCCCACCCTAAGCAACTGGTGGAATGGGGATATTATCACTCAGTGCAAAGGCCCTGGGTTCAAGCTCTAGCATTGCCAGAGGGGGAAAGGGTGAGGGACAGACAGACAGACACAGGAAGATAGAGAGACCAGGAAACAGGCAGAGGGAGACAGAAACAGAGGAACCTCTGTAACTCAACCGAGGACACTGAGGACTTGGGTGGCTGCCCTGCCTCTGTCAGAGGATCCCTCCAAGCTGCACCTGCACCAAATCCCAGGTTTGGCTCTCCACTGCCTTCCCTGAAACCCTCCTCAGACCTGAAACACTGTTTATTGGATGGCAACTCTGACACAGGAGAAGCTGTGGAGGCCTGGAGGCTGTGCTTGGTGTGTATGTGCTGTCACTGAGCCTGAGGACCCACAGGCCCAGACCTGAGGCTCTGAGAGGGCCCTGGGGCCGTTGGCCTCAGCTGTCCTGTTCTGTCCTGGAAAGATTTGGGGTGCAGTCTGCTCAGCATCTGGCATATGGCCAGCCCTTATGTATACTTCAGTTTACTTCATGCACAGAGGGAAGGAAGAAAACAAATCAAGAAAGTTATCAAGCTATGATGTGAGCACTCAGGCAGCAGCGCTCTGCAGGCAATGATCTGGTTACTCAGGAGACTGAGGCAAGAGGGTTGCTTGAGCCCAGTATGGCAAGATAGCAACACACTCCATCCCCACACCACAGGAAAAAAGCAGTAAACCAAGCAGGTACCTTCAGGGATTGAAGAATTAAGAGTCAACTTTAAAGGTTGCTATATACAGGACTGAACATGCTTTTTAAGGTACACACATTGTTCAGTAACATATGCTATTTAAAAAAACACTTCAGCTCATACAGAGCCAGTTGAAATTCTACACAGAAGAGGGACAATGAGGCATCATCCTTTCTTTTCTTTTTTTCTTTTCCTTTTTTTTTTTTCTTTTGAGACAAGGTCTTACTATGAATTTCAGGCTGGCCTTGAGCTTACTTTGTAGCCCAGGATGGTCTTGAACTCATAAAGATCCTCTTGCCTCAACCTCAAGTGCTGGGATTACAGGCATATACCATCAAACTTGGCTTTGATTTCCAAACTTAATCAAAGGCAGGTGACATCTGAGGCGGAAAGGCCCTGGCTTTCACCATCAGCTTAGGGATGAGGGTGGCTCTGTGTGAGTGCCTGACTACCTCATAGGCCCAGCATAAAACACCAAACAAACAGCACTGAACTTGGCCTCGCTTCAGTCTAAGCCTGCTTCACACAGAACAGTCTGTAAATGCTACACTCAGCCATCAAACCCAGCTGTGGGGAAAGTGCTATTTGGGTGGGATCTTGCAGGTATCCTCTTAGCATATTTCCTGTCCTTCTCTAGAACTCACTGAAGGACAGCAAGCATACCACTCTGAGAGAGAGACAGAGAGAAACAGAGAGAGAGAGAGAGAGAGAGAGAGAGAGAGAGAGAGAGAGAGAGAGAGA